AAAAAAAAAAGCTTCCCGCTTTGACCTTTCCCTCCACAGCCATGCCCCACTGAGACCCTGCAGCAGCCCCTGTGCCCACCCACACCCACGCCCTCTCTCATCTTGCCCTCAGCGAGGCAGCCAGCGCGTGTCATGGCCTGCTGTCAGCTTCCTGGTGCTCTTGTGGCTCTTTGCATTCGTCGCCATGATTGTAGCTGCGGCTGGGGCAACCACATGGCTGCAGTTTCTCTTCTGCTTCTCCTACATCAAGCTCGCAGTCACACTGGTCAAGTATTTTCCACAGGTACTTCCAGGGCCTGCCCACGTGTTCACACAGCCGGTAGTGTGAGAGGTGCAGAACTCGGCCCTGCTCCCATGGGGCAGCTTCTGCTGGGGTGGTGGGAGCCAGTGAGCCTGGCGGGAGTGGAGCCGGCAGATAGCCAGTCGGTATCACTGACCCCTCTTGCTGGAGCCAAGTCACACAAAGACATCCATGATACTCCTCAGACCTCCCTCTGAGCATCAAGGCTGTGAAGGTCATTTCCCATCCCCATGTCCCCATCTTTCCCAGGGACTCCAGTCCTGCCCCCATTACTCCCACAACAAGACACCACTTGTGTGTCTTGAGAAGCCCAGGAGGGCGGTCTTGGCCTCCACCAAGACCAGCCACTAGCCAGGTCCCAACATTGTCCTCTCCCACTTCCTTCACACCTTCCTCCCTCAGAAGCCCTTCCAGCCCCAGGACCTGGTTCTCAAGGCACAAGGAGGTTCTTGAGAAGCCCAGCAAGAGACTGAGCTCCCCCCACCACAACAACCAGCCCTGTGCAGAGCTGATCTTGGGGGGTCCCTTGGCACTCTCCTGTGAGTGCTCAAGACTGTCCTGTTCAGATCCAGGCCTTAGAGTCAAACACATCTTCCCCCATAACCAGCATGGCCTGGGCAAGGGTCGCTTATGAAGTAGCTGCACCCATGGACCTAGGCCTTCATTTAACTCACCGCATTCCCAAGGGAGAAGCCCCCTTGTCAGCCTCCCCAGCAGTGGGAGCTGTGTTCCACAAGCTCAGGAAGGTGAGTGTTGGGCCAGGAAGCAGGGTAGGCCCTCGGGGTGAGCAGGACTTGATTCTGTGGAGGGTTGAGGAGGGGGCTCTCAAGGCCAGGGTAGCCTGCACAAAAGCAGATAAAGGCATCGGACTGGCCCAGCAGTACTGAGAATGCCGCAACTGGCAAGCAAGAACCAGGTCCTGGGGCTGGAAGGGCTTCTGAGGGGGGAAGGTGTGAAGGAAGTGGGAGAGGACAATGTTGGGACCTGGCTAGTGGCTGGTCTTGGTGGAGGCCAAGACCGCCCTCCTGGGTGGAAGGAAGGGAAGTTATAGCAGTCATCAATCCAGAGGGCACCATGGTTTTGAAGGAAAGATGTGGGGTGCTGGCAGCAGGAAGAGGGGCATGTCACAGTGGACCCACCCAACAGACCCAAGAAACCCCAGGCAGCCCTGGGGAGATGGGGAGAGTGAGGCAAGGAGAACTCGGTAACTTGGCAAGGCAGCACAGCTGAGCTAATGGAGCTGAGATCTCACACCAGGAAATCTGACTCCAAGCCTAGCCTGAAGTCCAGACTGCATCTGGGGCTGGTCTCATTGGAGGCTGGAAGCTGAATCAAAGTTGCTGAGAAACCAGAATAGGGCTTCAGCCACAGAGAGAGATGAACACGATGACAGTGGCCTCTGTCCCTCTGTCCTTTGAACTTGCAAGGTGCAGGAGTGGGAGGAGGGGGCTTTGCTTGCCGTCCATGCAGATGAGAGCCCCCAGAATCACCCAGACTATTCCCTTGGTTGAGGTTTGTCAGAGGCCAAAGGTCACCATGTTCCTTGGAAGCAAGGCACAAGCACACGCGTGGGAAGCATTAGAGTCACTCTTGTTTGGAGTGGCAGTCACAAGGCGCGTGAGGCAGCCACCAGCCCCCTCACTGCCCTCCATCTGTCTGTCTGGCCCAGGCCTACATGAACTTTTACTACAAAAGCACCGAGGGCTGGAGCATTGGCAACGTGCTCCTGGATTTCATCGGGGGCAGCTTCAGCCTCCTCCAGATGTTCCTCCAGTCCTACAACAACGGTGAGTCAGCCAGCAGGCTGCCCCTGCCCTGTGGGCTGGAGCTACAGGGTGGGGCCAGGCTTCCCTGGACCTCCTAGCCAGGGCTACACACCCCAACCCCCAACCTGAAGCCTGGGGTTCAAGCTGATACCAGCCCTCAAACAGAGACCCACCCAGCATACTTGTGGTTTTCTGGGCAGATGGGGACCCCTTACCCTCACTGCCCCGCAGGTTCTAGCTGCTGCCGAAGCTGCCAAACTAAAACCAAATTCTGTCCCCTTTGGCTATTAACAGACCAATGGACACTGATCTTCGGAGACCCCACCAAATTCGGACTCGGCATCTTCTCCATCTTCTTTGACATTGTCTTCTTTATCCAGCACTTCTGCTTGTACAGAAAGAAACCAGGGTACGACCAGCTGAAGTAGCACCTGGGGACCCCGTGTAAACAGCCCCAGGCTCTGTGCCCTGGTGGGGAAGACCCCAGCCAGGGAAGGAAGGCCAGCGACACCATCTGGCTTGGGGTGCAGAGCTGGCTTGGTGTATGGACAGAGAAGCACTGTCTCTCCTTGTGGCCAATGCCTTAAACTCCAACCAGCCTGCCTCCATCCTGGCTCTCCTGCATCTTGATGCCACCATCTCTCTTTTCTTTAAGGCTTCAGGCCGCACATACAGGTCCTGACAGCTGTCTCAGGCAGGACTGGGCACTGAGCTTGCAGCCAAAGGCTTCACCCCAAACAACCAGCGTTCTGGGAGCAGCTTGATGGGCTGATCCTGCAGCTGGAGAGCCAAAGCCACTTTGTTGCCACCACTGTGTTCCCAGAGACCAAGCAGCCAGGTGCTGTGGCCAGTGGACTCAGGTGCTGATGCTGGTGGTGGAGAGGCTAGACTTTGGGGTCAGGCCTTGGGGTACTCTCTGCAGGGCCCTTTCCTGACACCCATTCTAGGTAACTCAGCATCCATGACTACAACAGCAGCTGGCCCAGGCCAGAATACTTCTGAGCCCTGAGGTGCCCACCACAATGGCTCTGAACTGGACTCATACCAGCACTCTCTGGAGCTTTGTCAACACAGAGTCAGACTATCTATCACACTAACACTTTTCAGATATTTTGGAGGGATGTCTTGCAAGTGGCTGACTTTCTTCTGCCCTCTCCTACCTCCACCTTCCCAGTGTCAAATGCCCCCCCGCCCCCAGCTCCCCAACTGCTCCTTACCCAGTATCTGCAGTGCACCACACACACTCCACTCTTCCCACCAGTCTGTGCCTTAGAGGCCCGTAGACCTGCCAAATGATGAGAGCAGCTCCCCTGGAGAGCAGGCAGGTCCCTTTGTTCCCCTTTACCAGAAAGGCCCCTACCTAAGACTCAGCAATTTTATAGCTGTCTAGGAGCCTTGGATAACTTGAGACACCTCACACGGTCCTTATGGGTCCAATCCTGACCTCAAACCTTCCTTCCCACTTTATTTTTCCCAATTTGTTCATTCTTCCCATGGCAGGAGGGGAGGGTCCCAGAAAGTGCCTTGTACATGCCTCAAGTTTGGGGGTCCACTCTGGCTTTTCTACAAGACCAGTGTGAGGCCTGTATTGCTAATTAAACCTGACTTGTTTCCTTTCTGCACACT